ATACTATATACTAATGTATGTATATACATATACATATATGTAGATAAATCGACAAGTACAACGCTTCAGGAAAATATTTGATACGCAAGAAACATTCCACTTCTAAACAACGTAATTTATTCTCTTTTTTCTTTACATTCATTTTCTTAATACGATCAATAATCCTGCTATTCTATGCTACATAACAAATTTTCATATACTTATAAAACACGAATTTGTAAGTAAGTGAAAATAGATTCCAATAGAATATTAGGATTATGCAGAGGAATATTATAATAATGGCTACTAAGAGAATTATCTGGAAGCTCTATGATCTAAAGAATTGATTGTATAAGTCATACCTTTTTCTATTTTTCTACAAATACTTGACTGCTATGTAATTATGCAATAATTACAGTTGTAATTTTTCACACAAGAATTCTTCGCTTCCAGATAATTCTCTAGTTTAGCGATACGCGAGTTCTTTGACTCGTAGAAATTCGTAGAAAATATATATGACTGGTGAATATATATGAGTTAAATTCATTTTATTTATATCTTTTTATTACATTTGTAGAATTTTAGGTGAAAGATTAATGATATTGTACTGTTGGTTTCTCGTACAATTCCCATTTAATCGTATATTCACCTATATAGTTGATTCATTTTATGTAATTCCATCTAATTTGATAGCGTCTTGTTCTTTGACTTCGACGAATCATCTGAATAGAAGGAATATTTTTGTATCAAATATTTTCTGTTGGCGGTCGTCGGCTATTTGACGAGTGTTAGATTCACCACAATCGTAAATGTTGGTCCACATTATCTAAATTTTTTTCTTTTTTCAATTAACGTGTAAAATAGATACGACAAATATACATTTAGCTTTCGTTGGAAGGCAATTTTTTATATATGATCAATTCGCGTAGTCATGACTGTTGCGAAACAAACAGAGACAAAGATAAAGAGGAAATAAGAAGAAAAAATATTCATAAAGCGTTAGCTAACAATATAGATCGATAAGTATTTGGTCAATGAGTGGCCAGACTGATGTATTATACTTTTTTATACATTGCTGGACTAAGTAATTGTAAATTTTTACGCGATTGTATACCTGACAAATATGAAGTTACTTAGATTCGCATAACCAGGTAGAGTACAAAGGTGAGACAGCTATAGGAGGTTCTGAATTTGTAAAAGTTTGTAGAATATGTAGAAACAGTTGGGAATCGTATACCTGATTCAGTATCTTAAGTTCTCGATAAAATCTCGTGTTTTTTCTTCTTTCATTTCGTTCATTGCTTCTTTAATATTTTTTTTTTTATTTAAGTATAGCATTGAAACGTTCCTTAACATTCAATTTTAGGCCAGTGGAACTAGGTAACTTTCACGTCGAGCATGTAATTATTTTTTTTAAGCAATGACTATATGTATATTTTTTAGTCATGCGTTTCGAGAGTAAAAGAAAAAACGGATCTACTTAAATCTGCGCATTTCTTTCCTTCGTTGTATAATTTAAGATGCGAAACGTCTCAATATTGTTTTAAGTATTGTGCACAAAAATGTGAAATTCGCTATGAAAACACATCGGAGAAGGTAAAAAGAGTGAAATACAATGTATATCTAAAACGATGTTTTTTCACACTTAAGGACAACCTGCAAAATGTAATCAACAAATTATCTTGTTCCCAGTCAAATTTGAACGTAGCTGAACGAAATTAGCAACCAATTCGAATCATATTTTCATTCTTTTTTATGTTTATCTCAGGTGTGTTTCGCAATGCAGAAATTTGTTTTTATATTCTTACGCATTTGTAAAAAAGCAACGCAAAAGCGAATAGTAAAGTTGGAAAATCTGATTTATAAATCTTATATTGAAATGTTCGAAGTAGATTCAGTCGGAACTTGTAAATAACGGCGAGCATCGTCTTTTTACAAACTAGTTTTACACAATTACAGTAGCTTCGCTTTGCGAAGACGTTGTAAGATGTTACTTTAAGGTGTACAAAGGCTACTTTTTTTCTATAAAATAAAAAAAGAAGAAAAAAGAAAACGAAACAAGATTCGAGATATGGGACCAATCGTATTTAGAGTTTATCTAAGTTTATATTTAACTTGTACGCATTATTTTTTCTGTTGACTGTTTGTGAAGATTTTGTTGAACACACATATTTTTGTACAGTCGTTGTAAATACTTTCCCTTTCATTTCTAATGTACGATCAATGAATTTCGACCGAACTATGTGATTTAGAAAGACAAACATTTTACGTAAAAAGGAGATAACGATTATATCCAAGTTTTTTAATAAAAAATGAACGTAGAGATTAATATTAGAATATTTAATGGAAATTATTTTCTTTCTTCATAGACTTGATACTTCAAGTCAAAAAAACGTGTAGAATTATGTATTTCGTCATTTTAATTGATCGATTAACTTTAGCATCTATTAACTTAACGCACTGTCTGATCTCGACAAACGGGTAAATGTCACTCTTTAAAAATAAAATCTGACATTAGATATTATTTTTGGCTCGTGTACACCTTGAAGAATGCCATAATAATAATGGATGTATTTTTTTAATGCATTTTCAGCGGTAGGTGCTGCGAGAATCGAATAATAAATACAAGTGTGTATAAGTCACTTTTTTTAGGCTCTTTGTAATTAAAAAACTTTGTACGAATAGTGTAGCCGCCCCTTCGAGTTACTGAATTCGCATCTAAAAAACTTAGTATTATGGAAAAAGTATTCTCATTGATATCAACTATAACCTGATATACAGCGGCTCATAGAAGTATTCGTACAATTGTCGATATCTTTTATGAAAATATTACGTGTATTATGGGAAATACTTTTAAATTTCGTTAGTACTGTCATGATATTCGACTATCATTGTCATATTGGTAAAATTTGTAACTATTTTGAAAAAATATATAAAAGTTACAATATATTTAGTGCAAGTTTATACATATTTTGATCAAAAAAATATTTAAACAGGCAATCATTCAAAATATTAACGAATTCTTAGTATTCAATAGAACTATTTTGAACACTGATTATATGCTTAAAGCGACTATTCATACTGTGTACTAATTTTCTACTAAATATAAGTTTGCAGTAAATATATTGTAACTTGTATATGTATATTTTTAGATTGGATTCAAGTCGCCAATATTATCTTGGCAATCGTGTCTCATTATAGTGCTAATAAAATATTTAAATGTTTCATATAACACATACAATATGCACATAACAATTTTCTATGATAAGTACACGAATACTTTTGCGGGTCACTATACTGCGTTTGAATCTTTTTATATGACGAGAGCATTCAACTTTTTTTCAAATTAAACATCCAGGATTTCTGTTGTTTGTATCAATCGAAATTCCAAACATTTTAAATAACGACATTTCAAATTAGGTTGTAAGTTTTCATTTATTCTTTAGTCAATTTTCAGTGTACGCGTAAAGTCTCTTTAGCACTGACAAAAATACGCTGTTATACATTACAGAGAAAGATGAGCAAACAGTGCCCTTGTACAGTTTCAGGCACCTAAAATTCTACTAGTGCATCATTTTATAAGTCCTAACATATAAAAATACAACCATTTGGTGGTGCCTCGAAATGCATTTAATACATTCCATCTTGTTTTAGAAGTAAGTTATAGTATATGTAATTAGGAATATTTATCATGGAATATTTGCATCATAATATCTTATCTTAATTCGTCGCGTTTTATTGTTATTAATTAACAATTTGAGCAATATTTCTTTTACATACCATATAAGTATCCACCTTCCTTTACAAAATAACGTTTGAATTCTTGCATTTCATGCATTCATTTCAAAGCTATAATCATTTAAAGTCAGAAACTTCCAATTCGCTTTTAATGCATCTACATTTTTCACAATTTCTCATTGCATTTATCATAAATGATTGTACTTTTATGACACCTTTGGACTTAGAGAATGATGCCTTATTAGAATTTCAAGTGCCAGAAGGAGTCTAGACGTACTTTTTGATCATGCTCTTTAGTACTTGCAGTGTAGAAATCGTGCTTCTACCCGTTTTTAATTGTGAAAGATAATTTTTGTCGAAATTTTTATTCTACTGCCCCCCCTGTAATCAATGGCTAATGTGAAATGAAAAATTACACTGCCAACTAGTGGTTAGAGCATTGCAAAATCTTTACCATTGTTTCATAGATCTCTCCGCACCATTGATGATATTTATATATGATAAACTAGAGGTATGATTGAAGTATCAAGTTTTTTTATATATAACGTGAAAGTATTATAATTCACCAGCTGAGTAACAAATTCATCAAATTAATCAAGTACTTTACTTTTAAAATAACATGTTCATTAGATAAAGGAGAAAAATAAAACAAAGTCATTTTAAGCAGCTGGGAAATAATAAACCAATTTTTTTAATTAAGTAATGGGATGAATATGTTGTACATAAATACAAATAGCGTTCATTGTGATGAATATGTATATCAATCCGATTAATTATCTGAAAAATTATTTGTGCAGAACCTGCATTCCATTCGAAGAAGCTATTAACCCTTTATTTTTTGTAAAAGAGAGTAGGAAAAGATTTGGAAGATTTCTTCTTATTTTTCTATATAACGAATCATTAAAGTAAAACACATGATAAGATCATTCAATTTCAACATTATTCCATCGATAAAAGATTAAACTCTAGTGAATGATTATATTTATAATTCATAATAAAAAAAAAAGATAAAACGTACAATAAAGTAGTGTAGCTTTTGTACCTGTTTGTAATATTTCTATACGATATTATTAGTGTATGTATCATCCGTGTAGATGCAGCAAAGTAATTTGTAACAATAATGTATATGTGCAATGAGAAGTTTCAATAATAAAACGTTGAGAAATGTATTTTATAGTTTTTTTTAACGGTATTATTTATACGTATAATTTCAAAATGATTGCGTATTCTGTTCTACAATAAAATAAGATTGTCATTGTCGGATAAAGTTTAATAAAGGGGCGATGAGAGATCATTAATAAAATTAACGTCATGGATATGAAATAAACAAATTAGATGGTCGTAGTTCTTGGGAAAGTTCAAACGCAGCGCATTTAAATTTTGATATACATTTATCGAATTATATAGGTGTCTACCATTTGTTCCCTTTCTTACACAACCTCTATCCATCTATCATGCAACTTGAATATTTCATCCTTTCAGAACTTCTCAGGTTTTTCGGCTATAAACTTTAGAATATGATTTTTTATATGCAAAGAGTTAAAGTTTTTGCCGTTAAGGGAATTTTGTACTGATCTAGATATGTAAAAATCTAAGGATGTAATGTCTGGTGAATCCGTGGGTGGGGTAACATATCCCAACCATGGTCAACAGCTTTTGTCGAGTAGTCAGAGAGACACGAGGCCGCGCATTGTCCTCACGAAACGCGACGCCCTTCGGATTTGGTAGTTCTGAACGTTTTTGTTCAATTTGCTGTCTTCAATTTGTTTAATTGCGAGCAATACTTTTCCAAATATATTGTTTGGTTGTTTGGTAAAAGTTCATAATACAGGATTCCTTTCCAGTCCCACCAGACACAAAGCATGGCTTTTTTCGGATGGAGATCGACTTCTGCGATGGCTAAAGGTGATTCAATCCGCTTTCTCAAGATCTTTTCCGTTCAACATTATTATAAATAATCCATTTTTCATCTCTGGTCACTATCTTTAAATATCACTTGCTCCTCGTTGCGTTTATACAACGAGTCGCGAATGAAAATGTGATCCTTCAGATTTTTTTCCGTTAAATTGTGAGGAACCCATACATCAAAACGGTTTATATAGCCAAGCTTCGCAAAATGCTCGTGGGTGATGGATTTTGATATTTTTAACATTTCCGTTAATTCAGGTGTCGCATAGCGTGGGTTATTCTGGATCAGTGTTTTTATCTGATCGTAATCAGTAGTAGAACTGTTTGTGTGGTATTCTTGCCTTTCCAGTAAAGGAAAAGCATCAAATGCCTATGATGCATTTTGTTTCCTTCTATTTAAGAGCGTATAAAACTAACAAAAATTAATATATCCTAACCAACCTTTTTTCTAAAGATACCTGAAATATCATCTTTTAAAATATGTACACATGTCATAGTGTCATGTCAAAGTCTTTTGTTTTCATCCATTATGATATATTCAGACCTGTCTTAATGCTACCTACCGAAAATCGGCAGCGAAATTTAACGCTATGATGTTACAATTAATGAAAACCATCCTGAGATCAGCGCCATCTATCAAAATCATGATTTTGGGTTAAAAATCGTGACTTGTTAATAGGAATATAGGATACCCAAAGAGGTCGTCGATATCTCTTCGCATGATGTCCCGGGTAAAGAAAGACAATGCTAGGAGTACGATAGAGATAGAGGAGTTATCAACTGTGATTATGTGCTCTTGGTAATTCCTAATAAATCGAATCCCCATTGAAAATTAACGAATTTTTCACTTTCCATGATCAATTTTCACACATTTAGAATTTTATCATGTAGTAAGGTTCACCATTTCCACTTAATTTTTTGAATTATTCAGTACCAGAGAATTTCGATAGATAGCGTTAAAGAGGCTAAAATAGGCCATATGTTTTGTATTGATTATTACATGTAATTAATTAATTACGTTGAAAACCGGAAGTATTATAAAGGAGGATTCTGAGAGTTACAGCTTTAATTTAATTCCTATTTATTACATTATTTCAGAACTTGGCTTATAGATTAAGAAGTTTCATATTTTAATTTCGTCATAAAGATATTAGTTCCATGTTTTACCGCTAGGCGATTATAGCATCTAACGGTCCACGTCTTGACCAACAGTGCATTTGCAAAAATTTCATTTAAGTGGATTCATTTTTGAACTTTTGTGATTGCATCTTTTGAATTTGACCCCCAACTCCCTTCCTACATTCTTAATGAAAATTCTTAATCATTCATTTATTGAAATAATTAAAATGAAGATATTTTACACCATTTAATAATACTATTACACTCGTGATTTATGAAAATCGATCAATTTCAATTAAAATAAATTTTTGGAAATCATGAATCCCGTATTAGAGAAGTTTTATTATAATTTATTATTTTATTATTATTATTAGGTATAAATATATAGTTGTTAGGTATAAATTGTTTTTTTCTATATTGATTATAGATAACTTAAAAAAGATAGTTGAAAAAGACTACGATATAGCCTTGAAAAATTCAGAGACGATAAATTCCAAGAATCGTTGTCTTCGTGCCACTTCCTATACTGTTATATTCTCCTGTTACAAAATCACAAAACAGATGAAAGATTTTGTTGAAATTTTGATTCCGAAGAATTCTTGGAAAATGACATCAATTCCAAGAAGCCCAATTTAATAGTGAACAAGGCTATTTTTCGCGTTTCGAGTTTTAGAACTTTGTTTAAAAAGTCTGCCACTCTACTTTTCGGTAAAGGATTAGGATTGATCATTCTAGGATAGCTGAACAGACCATGAAATGATTAAACAGCTGATTAACTTTAATTAAACGTTTATTGAAACCTTTCAGTAATGTACAGTGTAGAAATTATATAAATTATATAATTCTATTACGAATATTAATATATCTTAATTAAATAACTCTACACGTCTTATGACATTCTTATTCAATTCTATTTAAAAATAACTTTTATAATGAAATTCTTGTAAATTACGTTTACAAATCCGTTTACAATCCGCCTTAAAACTATGTATGTGTATATATACATATTTACATGAGTGAGATGGAAGAAAAATGTAGGCTGCGTGGATGGTTGCCTTGTAATAGGCGCGTAGCACGGCAGGGCGTCGTTTAAAATTTATGTCGTATGCTGGATCGTCTATACAAAAATCCTCGAAGCCTAAATTTGTCACGAATGAATGGCTTTCAACATCCTGCGGTTGCCCTCACTGCTGCAACGTCTAAAAGTTGCGGGCAGTGATCGTCTCCGTAACACAAATTCGCCAGGAATAAATTAATAGTTTTGTATTGTTTTTTTTACTTGTTTAATGGCAAAAAGAAATTTAAATATTAATGAGAATTTGTATTTAAAAGTTTATATTCAATAACAAGGTATGTACAAATAATACAGTTGTTACAAATCTTAAATGCTGCGAAACATACTGATATAATACAATGATAACATTAAGAATTGCAAAACCTTCTCGTCTAGTATCGCTCGTATTGTATGTCCTTGTCGTACACTATTGCTGTCTTCATCTAACAGAAGATATACATCTGTCCTTGTTGCACAGTATGGCACCTTTTATCTGACATACTAATGTATTCCTTGTCCCACGGACAAAGCATGTGCTGATATCTATAAAAGCGAAAGGAACAGCGACTGCAGCATGTAAAGATAGATGGCAATATCGTTTATGCTTGTCGCACAACCTTGTGCTTTTTGTCTACTGACAAACCATGTTCTGATATCTATTGAAGGCGGGAGGAACAGCGACTTGGAGCATGTGAGGATAGATGGCATTACATGATTTATCCGTACGCAAAGAACGCAAGATTGTGCGACAAGGACAGCCTATATGAACGATTCTAGACAGAGAGGGCGGTGGTGTGCAACAATGACAGATGCGCATTTCGAGTTCAAAGAGAAATACAACAATTTGCATATAATACATGTCTTTGCTTATTTATTTTCCTGTAAATAACAAGTGCATCATTTTATAAAATTTGCCACAGCGTCGTAAAAAACCGTGTTATACAAGTAAAATATAAAGTAGGTTGAAAACTGGTAAAAATGATAAAGGAAACTCGAAATCTGTAAACGAAAGGAAAAGATGTGTTAGTCAAAATATGTTAAAAACCGTGCACAATAATCTGTCCAATGTGTAATTACTTGAGAGTGGAATAGTATTACTTCATTCGCGAGAGTAGGCAAAGACTGGCTTCGTAGTCGAAAAAGATTCTTCCTGAGATCGCGGCCCGTAAGATCTCCTTAAGGCATGGTATAAATTTATGATGTGCATGGTGCCAGAATCACAGTCCCACTGCACGTGATCTCTTGCACACAGTGTGGAAATAAATAAAGTGAGGGGAATAAATGGAAATCGGGAGGCATCAAACTAGGACTGAAACGTGGAAAATATGATATATATAAAATAAAAATAGAAAATTCATGGAAGTAGATGTGAAACAGAAAGAGGAAATCTGCCGGAAACAAAAAGAGAAGATTACATCTTTTTTAGCATTTATTTGTTTAATTTAGGCTGGTATTACACGAGTGTAGAAACGACGGACGTTACGACGGACGTTGCAATGTTATATCGTCGCAGCCATTATATTATTTTGTATAAGATCAGTTACATGTATCATGTTCGTTAATTTAGACACTAGAGACACTGGGATAAAACTTTAAACCGACGACCGTTGTAGAAATACAATAATTGTCCGGTAAGTAACCGCGCTAGAGACTAAAAAAGAGTTTTTTTAGGAAACGACTATTTATCGGATAGCCAATGACGTGTGCACTTTCTCCGTTATTTGTTTATCCTTTATTCGGTTTCTATTTGCGTTCACGCACACGGTGATTCATTAATTTTTATCTCCTCAATCATAATATAACAAGCAAGAAGTCATAATGGAACACCGTATGCATTTCGCTCGTCAACCTAAATAACTAGACTTGGACTTAGGCCGGGGCTACACGAGCGTTATGCGTACAATGCAAATGTATATGTCATTTTATACGCAGCCACGCAATGCAGCTTCAACGCTCGCGTAGCCTCTGCTTGAAGATGACAGAAAAGAATGCGTATGACTGTGTGAGAAATGCGTGCGAGCGAGAGATGTTCCGAACGGCTACATAGTAGGCGATATACATATATTGTCGTATACATATTAGACACACACATCTAGGAACGTGCGCCACTGTCAACGTACGATGCATGGGTCGCCAATAGTGCTTGGAATATAATACGAAACGACGTGTACACAGTATAACAGATCTGAAGTCTGGGAACTTCTGAAGTGAAGGTAAAGCTCTTAGCGACCAGGAAATGTTTCTCAAGTCAGGCGCATCAATCGATTTCTTAGTCTTTGTCATGCAGCGCGATCTTATGTCTGCAACGTGCAAGACAACCGTGTCTGCAACTGAATTTTACGTTACTATGTAAATCCACGTTTATTTGAGCATTTTCCCTATCACATGAAATACTGAATGTTTGCTTTAAATAAATTGTGAAAAGTTATGAAAAGTAATTTAGTTTATATTCTTTATCTTCAGTGGTAAGGATGGCGTTGAATGTAAAAGTTTACCAAATCGATCCCAGCGCTGGCTAGCGGCCGGTTTGTAAAGCACACTTCTCGATATTAAAAGCCTCATCCCCACCATTGGAGTTTGCAAACCTGTGCGAAGGTAGGTACATATGTATGTATTACCGTCACACAGTTGCACAAGCAGACGTCACGCCACACGAATTGCGTCCGTCAATTCCTACGTACGTAAGACAACGTTGGCAACGTCGCGACGCAGTCAGCAATCGCTATGATACAGACGCAACGTGCGTCGAGCGATTAATACGGACGTTGCCGCATTCTTTGTGTTTCTATGAGACTGGTCACACGAACGGCGAGTTAACATATATTAACCGTTATAATAAATTATGGACATCGAGGTACTGATATCCGAAGTTGAGAAACATCCCGTTTTATGGGATATTTCCAATCTCGAATACAAAGACAAATTGAAAAGAAACGAAGCGTGGTTGCGTGTGGCGAGTATTGTAACCCCCAATTTTATGCAAAAGACGGAAACTGATAAGAAGATCATTGGTAAGTAAAAAAATAACGAGTAACATATTTAATACATTTTCGTTATTTATTTTATGAGTACACCATAAACACGACGCAATTATATTTTCCCATCTCGCCATGGTACTTGGCCAACATCGTTTACGATATGCTATGCTTATAATGTCATTGGCGTCGAGGTAAATCCGCCCTAAAAACGTATCTTCCTTTTTCTTGGCCTTGAGAATATATCTCAAGATCAATGTAAATGTAAATGCGATACTTCCGACATTTTTGTGCAGTATAGGTTGTACGTATCATATTACACGAGGTAGATCGACCTATTCGATATCGGTAACGCAAATCGAGGATGTTGTTTTCACTACTCAAATACCTAAAAAACAATGCACAAAGAAATATTAATTTATTGACACTTAATTGGTTGGATTATCGTTAATCTTTTTTATAGTGCAGGAGGTAACTTCTAAATGGAGAAGCGTACGCGATAATTATATTCGTACTTTAAGAAAAAGAAACGGAAATAATAAGTCAGGCTCTGGTGCAAAAAAAAAGATACGATATGTTTATGAAGAACAATTAGGATTTTTGAAAAAATGTCGGCAGCCACAAGATACCAGTAGTAGCACGGAGGTAGAGAAGAATGACCCAATAAGTACAGATTCAGGGACCAACATTAGTAATGGATTTGAATCAATTTTTAATAATGAAGAAACGAATAATGAGTTCAGATACTCTCCACGAGAAAAAACAAAAAGAATTCATGCAGAAGAGGAGGCGGCTAATTTTTCGGAATATAAGAAAAATACAAACGGCGACGACGACGACATGGCATTTTATAAATCAACATTACCGCTAATTAAGTCCTTTAATTTAGAGCAAAAAATGCAATACAGAATGCAAGTCATGCAATTAATTCAGAATATTAGAAGTTCATCTGTTCAACGCACACTATCAAAATATAATACGTAGCACATGAAATTGTCCGGTTAGATATTTTTATGGTACTTCATTATGAAAATTTCCCTTTCTACCACAAATTTTCATGGTAGATATAACAGAAAATTCCATCAAAAATATATCATCATAACATTACTTATTATAAATATTATTTTATTACTATTAATGCTATATTAATATTCGTTATTGTTATTATCTTGTATTCTATAAATTATTATCTTTTTATTTATCTTAAATGTAATGCTCTGTTACATTATTTTATATGTATTAATATAGACAATATTTTTTCTATTCACCTAGTTTGGTCTTCTAGTCGCCATATCATTCTAACCTTTTCTAAGGTTTCGTATCCTTACGCATTATGCTTTGTTTCTTCTTCCTAAGTAATTTGTCGAACGATGACCGCGACATACGAAAATCACTTGCAAGTTACAGAGCGTGTGAAATGTGCCTTTCAGTATTCTTGAATTGTTTATATGATGCAGCCAGTACTTTCATGTCTTGACTTATATTTTCTTTTGAATGTTTAACGTAAACGAGCGTAAACGAAAATCGAGAATTCTACAGTGTTAATTTTGGTCACATGAATATCTTTCTCAGCGTATTGATGAGAGAAAATTACAGAGAGCCAAAGCAACGCTCGTGTGAGTACAGTTCTAACGTCCGTCAAAATTGACGTCCGTTATAACGCTCGTGTTTCCCCAGCTTTATTTTACAAAATATCGAAGTAATTGTTAATAAAATTAGCTTTTCTAGTTACCTCTTTATACCAAATTATCCTTTAAATCCTGTTAACCATAAGTTAACTATGTATATATGTATATATAGCGTGAGACCGGCTGGTTGGTACAACTAGATAAACCTATGTGAGAAGATAACTTGGAAATATAGAATAAAACTTTTTTATATGAAAAAAAAAATTGAGTTTGAAAATTTGCCAAGCATAGTTAAACTTGGCTAAGTATCAATTAGGCACGAGTAAACAATTAACAAGAGGTCATTAGACATGCAAAAATAAGTCAAACACGTAAAATAAAAATTTTTTTCTATTCAAGACAGTCTTCAAAAAAATAAAATTTTCAAACTCGATTTTCTTGAAAAATATGATTCGTCAATTTCTGTAACAAGATGTCATGTGATTGTTCAAATCAATGCAACGTAAATGTATTACGGTTTTAAAAAATAAAAAAATTATACATGAGATATTAAAATAAAATAAAAGATATCAAGATTATATACTTGAAATTTAAATAAAATATGAAAATAGGTAAATCCTTCATGTGTCTTTAAGTATACGTTTACCAAAATGTTATTCCAAATGAAATCTCTTTTGAAAGAAATTTATTTTGCTAATCTAATATTAATCTAAATTTCAGATACATACAATAAATATTCAAATAGTTTCTTTGCATCAAAGTATACACTAGTATACACAAAGTATATACTATTTCGAACAATAAGAAAATAATGTTTTAAGAAATTAAAACGGGTTAAAGGGAAGTTAATTAAAAATTGAGTTACATGAGTATATTAGTAGTTTGTATTTTATTTAAATGTATATTTAAATGCCGGATGTGACATGTAGTCGAGAGATATCGATATAATCGATATATATTCGAGTTAGTGAATTCGAGAAATAATGGTCTTCCTTCCGTAACTCTACATACTAAGAAGAAGATGGAAAAATCGTAAGTGTACCACGAATATCTTTCTCAACTTCAATATTAATCAATATTAATTCTTCCTAAAACGCATTTATGTTATACTTTTAGAAATATAAAAAATTCTATAACTAATAAATGTCTTAAAAACTAAATTTTGTATTAAAAATTTTAAGTATGTCTATTAGTCATCAGAAACATGTGTTTCGAGGTTAGCGTAGCAGTGACCTATAATAAATAACTAGCCCTATTCCAAGAAGGTTAAATTAATTACATATCAGATAATAATGCAATTTAGTGACTGATAAATAAAAATATTGTTTAAAAATGCAACTTAAATCTAACCTAACCTTTTTGGTAAATATTAGACACTGCGTGGATTAAACCGAAAAAATACCAAATTTTTAAAATTTTTCTTTATCTCTTAAAAAAAGACTAATCAAATAGTAAAAATTGGAAAAAGTCGATAAACTGCATAATTATCGATAGTTACGCATCAGACTAGTGAAAGAGATTTTTATTACATATATCGTTTAATTATTTAGTTTTCTTTTTAATAGTCTATAAATTCCATTTTTTTTGGTTAATTTCAAACAGAATGGCGGACACAGCTCCAGCCGCGCGTGGAGGTTTTCGTGGAGGGTTTGGTTCTCGCGGAGGGGGTGATCGTGGAGGTCCGAGAGGTAGAGGCCGCGGGGGCAGAGGCCGAGGTCGTGGTCGTGGACGTGGTAAAGAGGATAGCAAGGAATGGATTCCGGTGACAAAACTGGGACGCCTTGTTAGAGATGGAAGGATCGAGTCTTTGGAACATATCTACCTCTTTTCCTTACCCATCAAGGAATATGAGATCATTGACAAGTTCCTTGGAGTCGAATTGAAAGACGAAGTACTGAAAATTATGCCAGTACAGAAACAAACTAGAGCTGGTCAGCGTACTCGTTTCAAGGTAATTTTATACAAACATAATTTTTAAATGATGATGTGTGATTATTAATGCACTGAAGATCTCATTAGTAATTCTCATTTTATAGGCTTTCGTAGCAATTGGGGACTACAAAGGCCACATTGGCCTGGGAGTAAAATGTTCCAAGGAAGTGGCCACTGCCATCCGTGGAGCTATCATTCTTGCCAAGCTGTCAGTTGTGCCAGTACGTCGTGGTTATTGGGGAAATAAAATCGGTGATCCTCACACTGTACCCTGTAAAGTTACTGGTAAGTGTGGGTCAGTTCAGGTGCGCTTAATTCCAGCACCAAGAGGCACAGGTATTGTATCAGCACCTGTGCCCAAGAAATTGTTACAAATGGCTGGTATCGAGGATTGCTATACCTCAGCTAGAGGATCCACCTGTACTCTTGGCAACTTTGCGAAAGCTACTTATGCAGCTATTGCCAAAACCTACGCATACTTAACACCGGATCTCTGGCACGATCAGGCACTAAGAAAAGCTCCTTATCAAGAATTCGCTGACTACTTGTCGAAGAATCATAGAGTTGTAGGCGGACAGAGACCTGCTGAAGTTGCCTAAAGAAATAAACCTCCATGCAAAGTATCTAATCGTAATCATTTTGCCTTTCCTTCCCTATTTTTATTACATCTCATATTTCGTAAATAAACTGGATGTGAAAGTAAAATATATAATATTAGGTAGATGAGACAGATCTATTTAACTTTCGTTTTTTTAATCATTTTCATAAAAACATGAATTTGCATAAACATTCCCAGTCATAGATGTTAAACTAGTTATAAAATACTACAATTCACTTGATTTTCACTTTTGTAAAAAATATCTACAACACAAATCCTGTAATCCTGTAATGTAACAAATAATTATATGTCTATAGTTCTTTTCTTTTTCGCTTAGATCCTTAAATATTGGTGGGTCTTCTTTTTTAATATTGACAGTTACACGGTCTTTTTAACACATTTTATTTACAATTACACGATTTTTTTAGAACGATTTATCCACGTTTATTCGGTTTTTCACACATTTTACACACTAATAATTACAATTCGTAGATAACGTAACGAAAATTATCTATATTCTGTACGAATATTTCCAAATCTTTTCTTAAACGGAGTCACTTATGTTAATATTTGTATAGCGTTTAAAGCAAAATAACTTTTTTAAAATTGAGCTAAATATCTTCGAGTTTTTTTAGAGAAGTTAGGATATTTACTATATATTTGGTTTTATTATATACTATATATTACTAGTTTATTATATATATAGATGGCGTGTAAAAAAAATTAAAAAAATTGCAATTGGTTGAAATCGCGAAGAAAATGGTGTAAGTCGCTTCTTACGACTCTTTATCTGAGCCTGTAATAAAAATGTAAACAATGTGATTTGTAGATTTATATCAGTTATTTACATTCTGAAAATTTCATGGAGATCGATTAATACTGAAACAATTGATTGGCATTGAAGGATTTAAGAACCTTTAAATTTATTATAGCTATATAGACCATAGTCTGAAAGCTGTAAAAAACTGCGATTTTCACCAGTTTTGACCGATTTTTATGACATTTTTAGCATGTATAATATAATTGACGAAACGTATTGCCTAAATTTTCATTACAGGCTTAATAAAAAAAAGTTGTAAGAAGCGATCCTTACTATCTTCTTCGCAATTCCGACCAACTACAATTTTCCCAAAATTTTCTTTATACATCATTTAATAAACTAATTATTTTAACTTTTCAAAAAAACTTAAGTAGTTGATACAATTTCAAAGAAGTTATTCTGTTTTAAAGGTTGTTCGAATATTAATGGAAGTAACTGTATGAATGTGTTTATTAAGTAAATTATTTTTAATGAATGCAATTCTATATTTTAAATAGATTTTTGTGTAGTTTGTGTTATTTTAATACAAATTTTATATTTTATTACAAATCAATCCTTATGCAATTTTTTTATGTAGGATTTTTTTATGGATACTATGCATCTATCATGTAAAAAGATACCCAGCTGTATATTGTATATCTTTTTCTGCTGTCTGATTAACGAAATACGCAAAAAATTCCACATTAGGATTGTAACAAAGGCGATTAACTTTAGCTAGGTAATAAAATAAATGGTCACTGTGACGTTATTCGAACGACTGTCAATCATATCGATCACTTGAATCGGCGTGTGTAAAAGTAATCGACTTCAAAACACAATAGATATGTATAACTGACGTTTTTTAAACGAAAGTATAGTGTAAAAAAAACATTGCTAACGCTAGATAGATCTCGATTTCTCCTGTGAAGTTTGACCAGGGCCGAAACAGCTGTTCTGCTGTTGGATGGTTAATTTGACAGGGAAGTCGAAGGATAAAACGAATGTTTTATCTAGATTTAACCCTTTTAAATGATATCGCGAATATTCCGTGGCGAAAATGAGAATGTCGCAGTTAAGAGAAAACGGCAAATCGACACCTTGAAAATTTTTAACGACAAGTAAGAAGATTTTTCGATTGTAACCTCTCTTGTTTAACCTTATTCGCATTAATCTGTCTATATCATCTAACAATTCCATGTAACATTATTTTTTATCCACGTAAAATCTGCATTTTATGGTTTATATACGACGAATAAAATAAAAAGCTTATTAAGTCTACCATTAAATACTTGGTTAAGCCTTAATTCGATCATTACGCGTCCGTCATACAAGGAGATACACGCCTAGTTTCTCGAGCTCGATTGTCCAATTTCTTATTTAATTAAAAAAAAATAAATATTTCATATATGTTCCTGTGTTGTCCATGGAATTATCTTTTATATTGTGTAACTGTCTGTCATGGTTGCTTAACTGTTATACATAATTTGTGTTACAGTGTAGTAGAGCTAAGAGAAGATGTGGAATATCAGGTACAATTCAATGCCGGGGAAAGGAGAATGGCTATTATGGTCTCTTTGTCACCGGAGTTTCCGTTGGAAAAACCAGTACTCAGGGTTTCTCCACCCATAAAACACCCTTGGTGTAATGAACACAATGAAATCACCAGTGCACCAGGACTACTTAATGTAAGATCTCTTATATTTCTAGCATATTTGACTAGAATCGTAAAGATCATTTGTTTTTACATATTAGTTTACAGTGCACAGTGATCTTGGTCGTGTCGTTCAAGCTATCATTAGAGAATTTAGTAAAAATCCTCCACAGTTGTTAGAAGAAATCTCTTCTGGATCTATCAAGTCCCACAGAGGTACATACATTTTTATATTACATGTGATGAGAGCAAAGAATCAAAATTTCTGTTATTATTCTTTTATTATACGAATCACAGATTCACAAGGAAGAAATTCTCCGTCTTATTCCCTGCAACAGTATCCAGAAATTACACTGGCGTCATACAATTCTTATTACAACACTCAATATCCGCAGTATTCATCTGCCAATGCAAATACTTGTATCTATAATTACAATCATACAAATTCGGGTACGGTGTACGTGACGGAGAGCCATACAAAATTCGGCTCTCCATCACAGCATTCAGCATATGTAGCGACTTCGCGAAGCAGTTCGCTTCACAATACAGATGCAACTAGGTACAATTCAAATCAACATGGAACATATTTGAATTCGCATTACGTAAACGCGAATTACCATCAGCAATCGTTGCCGAATCAAGCGCAAATTAAGCTGCGGCAGAGCATAGCGTTTCCAGAATTGAATAACTTAAGTAACGAGGAATTGAGATGGTTAAGCGAGGATGATGATAGAGTAGATGAATTCCTGGATAAACATTCCGACTTAAAAGACATTAACACGGCTATCGACGATGCAATAGATTGGGTCCAAAAAACTGCCGGTAAGATTATTTGCGACAAAGCCATTTTCTTATTTTGGATATCTATATTTTTCTATCTATTCCTTAGAGGCCAATGTAGCCAAAGAACCCGAGCTTAGAGAATTGCAGTCTGATGTAGCCAATAAAGTACAGACTGTGACTGCACTAAAGGCTAGATATGATCAGCTTATACAACGATACAACAAGTTATCCGAAGCATTTACTCCGGATCACATAAAAGAGTGTTTAAGGAAAGCTGCAGATGAGAGTCACGAAGAAAGCGAACGAATCGCCGAGGACTTCCTTAATAGGAAAATTGATGTCGAACGTTTCCTCAGCACTTATATCGAGTGTAGGAAGCTGGGACAAGCGAGAAGAACTAAAGAGGAAAAATTAGCACATCAGCTGAACGAATTGAAACGAGCGGGTTATTAAAATTATGTATAATCTTATCTTTTTCTATGAATCGAACAAACTGTACATAATGCCTAGTTCAATTAAATAATACTGTGAATTTGAATAGTATTCGTGTTTATCAAATATATATGCGGTAAAAATACTCGCTGGCAGAGAACATTTTTATAACGTATTAATACGTTACTACGTTACAGAGTTATGTCATTGCTTGTTATACGTGGGCTGCGTTGAAATTAATTAGATTATCTGGTATTCCGTACGAAAAATAATCGAAACTGGAACACACGAGTGAATTGATTGAAATTACTTGTGAAAAAAAATTATCGAGTATATGTACGAAAACCAAAGGCGCTGATTTCAACCGGTAAAAGTTATCAAACATTTCAATTAATTTAAAATGTACTTATTTTTCCATACAAAAGGTGTCTTTTAAATCAATTTAATTATTTTGTTATTGCGCTGTGACATATTACACTTGCATCAATACCATTCTGATACAAAAAAAGGAAGTTTTTTTTACTGTGTAAATAAATGTGCGGGAATATAATTAAATCGATTTTTCAAAGTTTGCTATTCAGTAATGTTAATCTAATTACTTATCCTACGAATGTTCCTAATATTGTAATATACTGATAATTGTATAGATACGAGAAGTCTGAAATGAGAAAATGCTTTTTTTTTTTAAACAGTGTGGCGTGTGTAATTTTATTAGAATATTCATGACACTATTATCTAAAAACACAGCTTAAGGTAACAAAGAAGAGAAAAGTTTTCGTGTTGAAATTAAAATGTAAAGATAATTGTGTAGAAATCGTAAGTTGTAAATAACTTAAAAAAACGAGTTTTTAATAATAACAATAAAACAAAAGGGATGTAAAAAATTGAATCTGATTTACTGATGACCATTTCACGATATCATCAAAATGATAAATACAAATGCGGGTTAACATTTTATTTCCATACAAATACTTAATATTCACTAAATGTCTCAAATATTCTTCCTATATTATAAAAATAACATTGATACGAGAACCTTATTTTCTTGAAATACATACTTTGTTCGTATCGGCAGTTTTAAGTTTCCCACTAATGTTACTGTCTCATATATTTACATATATGGAAACATAGTTGAACATTCTTTATACAGTTATTTTGTCCCTTATCAGTCAGCATGTAATATGTGTATATAATTCGATACATCGATTAAGGATCGACAAATGAAATCATAATGTATCTTGTACCACTGGTAACTCGAAGTCCTTCGTGATAATGAGTCAATCTTCCAGGATGCATCAACATCCAACCTGGTTTTGTGTCCGTAACAGAGCAGTTATAGCGGATAAATCGACAACCTCCACCTTCATAATCCACCCCCGCCCTATTTAGAGCGATGTTGATGGTATAAGTTGAACTATCATGATGTGGCTTCAATGATGGTTGTTCATCTGGACGATATCTTACGACGAAATTCATGAGTGCACGAGGTGGCTGTAAATTTCAATTACGAACATATTCAATTAGTATTTTATTTATACTAATTTTTCATTAATATTCAAAACAATGCAGAGTATTTTTTTATTCAATCTCTGATACTCTCAATTTATTTGAAATGTTTTACTACAATACGATATGCATACTTTACCTACAACAAGCTGTTTCGTTTAACTGGTGACGGTAAAATTTCTCACGAGGGATTGATTTTATCAAAAAAGTATTCTTACAAAAATTGTTTAGTATACGAGTATAGGAAGATATTATAGATTATACAAACAATTTTTTTCTAAGCGTAATAATGGAAGAGATATTAATATTGAATTAACCTTCTTAAATGGAACCCTGTATTTTCCGCTCATAATATGATAGCGTTTGTTGAGATGAATACAAACAATATGTTATATAATATCATTTCATGTAGTAGAATATCATAGATTAAATCCTAAAAATGAACCAGTGGAAATCAGTAGTTGAATTATACACGACTTCATGGTCTAACTCCATCAAATGATTACGCTATGAATTAGACAAAGATAGAGTTTCTTATCTCGCTTTGTGCCTCTTAGATTCATATCTTCAGTTTCTAACATTCAGCTTAAGAAGTGTCTTTTGTAAGTGAAGAAGTCCTCCTATGTACCACACAACATCGCAGGAATATTTTTTAACAACTTTAATCCTTTATGAGATCGTTTCCAGTTAAATGGAACATCTTTTATATATGTATAGCAATATAACTGCAACCTAGTAAAAAAGTGCAACGAATCCGAATACGAAGCCTATCACCATTCCCTATGTGATGTGATCAGTTTGCCAAATAATGTCTTGCAATTTAAAATTTGTGCAACTGTGCATTAATTTATATGTACATCAGGGTGAGAAATATTGTGCAACCAACAGACTACTTATTCCCATATATGTATCCTGTTTTTGATAACTCTTACATTCGTATTATATCCTATAAAAACATGTTCTTGCAAAGGACTGACATATTCATAAAGAAAATTTAACCAAGATTCGTGGAGGCCGATTTGTTTCATGTGAATATCTCGTGTTGGTACGGCTTCGTATCCACCTTCGATACGTGGGTCCTAAAAATGATTAACGCGTTTTATAGTTAAAAGACAAATATCTTACATCGTGATAATATCCGGCGAACACGAGTTCCTGAAGAGGTCTAACATACTCCTTTAAAAAGTATAGCCACTGTGGCTCATATTTTACTTGATTCATATGTATATCACGGGTTGGTACATTTTCATAACCACCCGTTAATCTCGGATCCTGTTGGAAAAATTATATTGTTATTGTTTAGTGATAAGGTAAATGTTTATCCTGTGACTGTTTTATCTGAAAAATGTAACTATCGTGTTATTAGTGTAACTGTTACTCTAACTATTTAAAGATAAATAGTCATACATGATTCGATCCGTCCGACCACTTTCCAAACGTTTCCATGATATCTATCAACTCTTTCGTAAACCTCTCGTTTACTATAGGGAACCTATAAACATCTGGGCAAACCTAAAATGAAAATTTAATCGACCTGAATAATACTGAGAATTCATATATCTGATAAATGTTAAATATATATAATGAGCGGGAAAAAGAGTATAAGACAATATCGGTCAATTGGATAAGTACACTATACTACATATATATACGCAGTACATATACCAATAGTATATCCAAAATCTAACATCTGATCTTACATTGCACTCTTAAATATTACAAGTGCCTCTCGACAAAGTTAATAATTCTAGAGTATTATCTGGCGTATCTACGTCTCTTTTATCCGACCACTAGAAATGTATAAATGTGTTTTTACCTGCACCGGAGTTTTATTCGGATTAAAGTTCTCCGAATAATTTTCATGTATGTATGTCTTTTCCCAATCTAATTTGTTGTTGAGAATTTGATAGAAATCCGGATGCGTTACCGTAACGTCATAATTATCTGGATCAACGAGATGCCCAAAGTCAACTCTATTACTGACATACATGAAGATGTTTCGTTCTCTGTTAGCATAAGCGAAAGCCATCTCCGTGTCCAGATCGCCTTCCGAATAGGATGGACGAGTCTCTTTGTTACTTATCAGAGTTGCATTAATTAAGTAGCAATTGCTGATAAACGGCACGTTCCATAGTCCTCTGTAATAATATTATACGCTATATATTTATGTATGTATATATATATATGTATACATGGTGGTCCCTAAGTCACTTCCGCATTTAAAAGTTGTATGACTCTCTTATAAATATTTTTAAATTTTTGTTCCAAATTCACAAAGCAGCAACAAGTAAATATGCTAAAAAAAAAAAAGAAAAGAAAAAGGATTACTCTTTGATATAGCACAATGTCTGATATGATCACCAAACTGTAATCTTCACAGGGTGCAATTCACGTTAATGATCAACTTTCAGGTTTTTAGTACTTCAAATTCTGCTGTTCTGTTTATTAACATACCGATTGTCGTGGAAATAGGCCACATCTGCCATTAGAGTAGTGTTAGAAAAATGTATTAACTAAAAAAAAAATTCAATTGTTTTTACTCGAATTATTTACATTTAAATTGCACACTTTAAAAATGTGCAACAAAAATTTAAAAGTACAATACCAAGAAGAATCTTATACAGCTTTTAAATGGGAAAGTAACGTACGTTACCTATCTGTAACTAGCTGTAGCTAGCCTGTATGATATTATATTAAATATTAGGTTTTTCTACTGATATGAAATACAGCACAGTAATTACTGTGGTGAAAAATAATGATTCGATTCAGCTTAATTCATATGAACGATCGATTTAATACATAATAGCACGTGGGTATCCAATCGGTCTGCTGTTCTCAGGACCTCAAGGCCAGTGAAGAAGCAGACGCGAAACCATAGAAGGGACCAGCATACTTGTTTGTTAGTCCCGCGAGACAATATTTCGTAAGGCAATCAGTCTGATGTCGTGATTGGCTGATGAACACACTGGCAATGGGTTATGCATAATTATCCAATTGAGATTCATAACTCTGTCACCAATGACGCGACATGCCCATCGTGCATAGTCCATTCATATTTTAGGCTGTAGGCCGAAGCCCAAAGATTCGGCTTGACCACTTGTCAAAAGTAGCGGTTCCGTGTAGCCGGTAAGCACCTGAAGATTGTGTCACTTTTATCACCAACAATTGCTTTCCGGTGAAGTTCGATTGGTATACAAGCGACTATCTTTAACATACATAAGTATAAACACGTTTAATGTTTTGCAAAAGTTACTCAAAAACATTTCAAGTGTTCTAATTCCAAGTTAGAATAATCAAAATCAATTGAAAGCTAAGATACATCCAAGTGTAACAGCTCTATGTAAAGTGCATAGAAATATTGACACTTTGAAAAAAGATTGAGAACTATATAATCGTAGAACAAATGAAGATATATCAACTTTTCTGCCTGTTCTTTTTTGCTGGCTTATTGGTAAACACAGACGCGGCAAAAGGTGGAGGAGGTAGAGGAGGCGGCAGACGCAGTGGCGGAAGAGTTTACAAGTCTCGGATGCCTATTCTGATTCCTCACAGAAATCCTGCTAGTGCTAATTACTACGAGAACAAAGATGTGAGTTCAAAGATATTAATCGATATCAGATCATCGGTCGCTTAACTTTTAAAATTCGTAGGGAGCGAGAATAGTGAAAGCATCACACTTTGAATTGGATTACATGTTGGGTAGGAAGATCACGTTTTTCTGCATGGCCACTGGATTTCCAAGGCCTGAGATCACCTGGTTGAAAGATGGAATCGAATTGTATCATCATAAATTCTTTCAGGTATTCTCATTATTCAGAAAAAGGGATTCCTATAACAGAAATTTGAGGAAAGTTGTAAAATCGTGCGTATTGCAGGTGCATGAATGGCCTGTTGGTAATGATACGTTAAAATCAAAGATGGAAATTGACCCAGCCACCCAAAAAGATGCAGGATATTACGAATGCCAAGCGGATAATCAATATGCGGTTGATCGTCGTGGCTTTAGGACGGATTATGTCATGATCTCCTATTAAAATCAGTACTTTTGTCGTAGTTACAATACTTAAGTTTAGACGTCAATCTCTTCAACTTACCGTAATAGCAGAAAAGCTAATTTTAAATAACAAGTTTAATTTTTTAAAGCCTATACACTTTCACTTTCACCTTTCTTCGAAACATATCTAATAATGTCGAATTTAACACTTTTATAACAGCAAAAGCGTTATATTTACAAAAATATAATAAAAAGAAAGATGTACGACACGTTTCGTTATTTGTTTTAATGCACGAATATCATAGATTGTTAAGAATCTCAAAGCATGAAGGCGCACTTGGAAATTTAAAGTTCCCCTATCTTTTATTCATTAAATCACAATTGACTCTTACAAGGGTGGTACATCTATAGAGTAAACCATAAAATAAAACATAAGATAGCATATCACAAATTTGTCTGACGAATTGCTATTTTGTTCGTGAATTAAATGAAAAAGTTCCTGAAACAACGTTCAGGCTTGTCATATTCAATCTTGTTTTATTAGAACCAATTCGATTATCAGTACTAGGTAGAACGAACAATCAAGTTAGAGCATTTGGAATTTGGTGATGACCGAGTTGCAATAGGTGTCGAATGAATAACTACCACATGTACGTATAATACATGCAGTTCAGCAGTATCTGTCTATACATCTGTAATAGATAGGAGAGAAGACTAGGGGAGTAATGAGTAGGTAACTGTTAGTTACATCGGAGTTCCGTGTGATCGTCATACGTTGTCTGTACTCGGTGAGTATCTGCGACATATTAACACAGACTCCTCTGTTTTCTCTACTTTTAACCATCTACTTGATCTATCCATTTCTAGTTGCTTTGCTCAAATCATCATGCCACGCTCTACAGTGATGTTATTTCTGTTGATGGTACTACTATTAAATAGCCAGGAAATTCTTGGACGAAGAGGACGAGGCAGAGGAAAAACCAGATCGCGAGTCCAAATAGGACTGCCTATCACTGGAAAGTATCGTGATCCAGAAAGTGATCAATATTATAATAATCATGATGTACGTAGACTTCTAAACCAAGTTAGAAGTCGCTTCTAATTTGTTAATTGTTTTCTAAAAATGTTTATCTAGGGAGCAAAAATAGTATTGGCATCGCACTTTGATTTAGAGTACGTTTTAGGACATAAAATCGCTTTCCTTTGCGTGGCACGTGGAAACCCACGGCCACACATCACATGGTTCAAGGATGGTGCTGAGATCTATACACATCTTTACCTACATGTTAGTATAGATAATCTTAATTGCGATGGTTAAGTCTTAATAAACGATGATCATAATGATGGAAATTTTGTATGTAAAGGTACACGAATGGCAAGTTGGTCCAGATAAAGTGAAATCGAAACTGGAAATAGATCCTGCGACGCAAATGGATGCTGGAGTCTACGAATGTACAGCGGATAATATGTACAGTATCGATCGAAGATCCTTCAAGACTGACTTTTCCATCGCTTTCGATTAAGTTTCCTTTTTCACAATACTTTAGTACGAATATAGATGAAATCGAAAGTTATTGGCTTTAAGATGTCGGTCAAAATAATTAGTGATAAAAAGAACATGAAATGATTCTCACGAAATGTATAATGTTTGCACACGTATGCATAGTTAGACAATAAATAAAGTACGTTGCATTAAAATAGCAAGTTTGTAAAATATTTTTAAGACATACCTGCGTTCATTGTTGACGATCTCTATGTAATCAAAACTTCGAGCATAGAATCCATCGTCCATTATAGCTCCCCAGAAATTGCTCCACATTTTATATGGTCTGACTAGTAATGGTGCGATGATATCTCGCTGCTGTTCTATCAAAAGTTTCAAAGTATGTTCGTTATCCAGATGGGAAACGGAATCAATTGAGAAATATCCAGAACATTCCTTTAACAAGCAATAATCCCTAAAGAACGATATTTATCTTAAAATTTACAGAAATTTCATTGAAAGTAATAAGGTTAAATATATCTTTGATACATACATGGCTAAGTTTCTCGCATCAACTTCATTCATAGCATCATTCACAGAAATTTGCTTACTACTGTTATATTCCCTTCCAACCTTCTTCATAAAATTATCAACTACATCTTGGTGATACTCTACGTTGTTATGTATAAGCAAATGTAGCTTGGATTTTGGATATGCTTGCTGATATATCGCCGATAGAAATTCGGTCAAGAAAGGAGTCGGCCGTTCTATAAATATAGCGATTAATATAATCGGATATGATTCCGGTGTTGTTCTATCCAATTCTATCGTTTCTTCCCAGCACATTACGCATCCTTCCTCAGGACTCCATGCATGAGCCAAATAATTCCCCAAAGAATTCAGCGATAACTTGCTGTAACCATTTCCATGAAGAATCAATGGTTCTGTGCTATAAACAGTATTCAAAAGCGAAGCCTTGCCACCCTCAAATTTTAACTCCACATCAGCTATAAAAAAAATAATCTTATTCGCTTTATTCATTCAATTCTATTTTACTTATTCACTTACCTACAGCACCATATAGATTCTGAAATATCTCAGACTTATGATCCAGCTTAATTTTATGACGTTCCCTTAATTCCTCGTCGAGATACGCCAACGTATAAAATAATTGATCGTCATCCTTGTTTTTTATCGGGGCATGTGTTAAAATCGCGTAAACGTCCGAAGCATAGCCCACGAAGCCTCCAGAATTTAGAAAGCGTTTCCCCAGTGCTGCGGATGGATACTTGGACGCTAGCGATTTATCTGGCCAACAAGAGCCTTCTGCAGAAAACAAAACTCTGGCGTCCATACTCTTAAACTTATTAATGATCTCAGTCAAGTCGCTTAAGTATATCACGTCGTAACTAAAATATAAAGGTAGTTGTTAAAATTAAACGTTAGAATTAAAATTACAAATGAAACAAGTTAGAGAAGGAAATGAAATATGCAAAAGACCTGTCCGTAAATATAACAATTTTCTGGTCATCGTCCCCATAGTTTTCTAGAGCCTTCTTTAAAAGATTTACTTTGTATCCTCCTCCTGCGCTGGTTTTTATGTTATCACCGCCTAACCAAGGTTCTCCCAAACCAAGTACTCTCAAATTATCGCGAAATCCATAGACATTGACCGATCTGAGATATCTTTTGTAGCCATCGGTTTCGTTCGAAGCAATGGTGAACACCAATACATCTGTACACAATTTAAACGGTATTTAGATTCTCATGCTCTAAGAAAAATGGAAAAAAAATTTGATGTAATATATTTGTATATATGCCACATTTCAGTGAGTAAAAGAAAAATAATATTTTCCTCTTGGCCGTCTCATTTGAATTTCGAACGCGACACTTCAGCCCTGAATACATACGGCCAAATGGCCCTTTACAAAAACGCTGCGCAGAGATTTATGCATATATGAATGTAACATGTACAAAATATTGAAAACTGTATATAGAAAATTTATCCATATGTACGCTTCGTTTTTGAGAAAGTCGACTTTGGCTAACCGCGATCTACAGTGGAGTCGTGAAGTCGAAAATATAGAATAAAATTTGTTCACAAGACGATTCGTTTCCGAGAAAAATAAATTTGAAAATTCATTATATAGGTGTACCAGGGCTAATTGTAAGCCGATTCTGAACTAAACACGTTCAAACTCTATTTTTTTGAAAATGAAGCCTTGAAACGGAAAAATTTAAATGTTAAATTGTCATATACGTAGTTTTGCAATATTTCATTTAATAGCTAGTTCAATAATACTGGTAAAATTTGATTTCGCCTTTGCTCCTTTTTAAAGCATATGTGGCTGCCCATATTGAAAGGGTTTATCTATTTTGAGCAACTAGGTATCAACATATGCACCGAACGAGCAAAAGCTAGGCAAACGCGATTCACATAAGCGCTACATTTTCCACATGACATCATGATTCGAATTACTGTACGTGTTAGCAGTCACGTCAGCTCTCAACGAAATTGGATTCGCATAATACATATTGAACGGAATTTCAATTGTCAAAAAGCCGTGTTATTTTGAAATCCAACCCTTTTATTTATAATTTGGGCACAATTGCAAATTAAGAAGCCAAAATTTATTTTATTCCTATAAGAATAATAACTAGTTGAATTAAAAAATGCGATGTTTTTATCATACTACATAGACATCATGTAGCCACATATTTAGAAGATTTTTATACAAAATTTCGACTTCTGTAAAGATATTGCCTAATCTTATCGTTCTCCTCATAAACACATCTAAGGAATTAATTAAGAAAATTCGTGGAGAAGCTGCCATAATAATGACAAAAGGCTTCAGAAAATTGGAAACAGAGACATCTTCAGAGAATATGCTTATGTAAACGGAAATGGAAAGATAACCAGGTCGCGCGAACGCTATTTAATTGTTCATCAAGGCATTGTCAATCAGGAACTTTCTTTGTGTATTAAATGCGTCGTAATAACTGTAAAATACATTTATTTCCTTGTAACTATAAAACGTATTTAAGCATACCCTTGTTTTTCAATGAAACATTTTTTTATCGTTATTATTTTATATTTAATTCTCATAATATCAAATTTTCGTAGTCATATAAAAATACTAAATGATGCAAAATTTAATATATTTAGGTCTAATTAACTAGTAAGTAAATGTTATAATAAATACAAATACTTTCTGTAGCCATTACAGTATACCGTATATACAGTATATACAGTATACTGTAGCCACACAGCCATATGTATGTATACAGTATTAATCAAGACTGTTTATACATAATAAAATAAATATTTCGAGAGAGTTTATTCTTTGCTACGCCTTTAAAGGAGATATCAAATCGTTCCGTTGAGATTCAAGAATATACATACATACATAATGGTGCACGTGTTTGCCTTCGAATATGATCTCTCTGTTACTGTTCCAATTATTCTTGTAACTATACCGTGCATTAATTAAATGTATAAACGAACATGTGGTGACAATGTACAACGATTTATCTTTATAAATCATTGTTTTTACTATTTATAAGATTAGTTAATTTACTAATAAATTGATCGCACGTTTGGATTCTATAATCTTTAGTAATTCTTTAGTAATCTTTAATAATTCTTCCTACTTCTTCTTAATTCTTACGCCATGTACATTAATTTCAATATGACAAATTAAGGACAATGAAATAGTTTCCTCTTCCATAGTAAAATTATGTCAAGGATAAAGATGTTATAATCTCGCATAAATTGAAAAAAGTCAAGATGCTTTTTCCTCGCTTGTTGATAAGTGAGATAAAATAATTCCTACGCTTCATCAACATAAGTTAAATAAAAATGTAAGTTTTAAACGATCGATTAAACGCCGCAATAGTCGTAAAATCTTATCGCCTTTAGGGTCAACGTAACAAAAACTTTCCCTGGCAAGTAACCACGAAAAGGGAACCAATAAACAAAATTACAAGATTTCATTTGCGTATAGCAATTACGCCGGAATGATGAGCATGATTTCTTATAAATTCACATTTGTTTTAGTAGAAAAAAATATAGTAAATTGGAGTATGATTATTTTAATAAAACTTATATTATTAAAAAGTATATATACATATATTTCCATTCTGTTGGATGTTACCATTTTCAATTTCATTTAATTTAGATGATTTTTTCAATAACTGTTTTGTGTAGATGTATGAACTTGGTATGGTATATAATTCGTAAAATACGTAAAATTTAAACAATAACAAATAGCAAAACAATATCCCGGCCTATATTTTCCTCCGAACTACATAAATGATCATACAATAAAATAGACGTTAACAACCAAGAATGATAAGAAGCACATTCACAGTTGATCGAATTTATCTTCTCTTCATGCAGATTAATTTAGATGAGTTTTTCAGGAACATTGACGAAAGAGTTAAAAGAGCTAGGATGTAACTATTACCGTCTTTGTCTGTTGATGGTAGAGTCTCGCTAAACACGTGGTAGGTCAGAAAGAGGCTCCAAAAAAGACAACATCCAATTTTCTTCTCACGCATTTTCGACTAAAAAGAACCGCAAACGCGCCGAAGAATGTATGAAATGCACTGTTCTGACTTCTGACTAAGAGTACTAAGACTAGTCTCGAAGGACGGAAAGCAAGTTCGTTGCTACTCCCACACTTTTTGAACAAAAGTTACTACCTTCGACGACTACGTTCGGCACTTGACTCTGATTTATGATTTTAAAGGAACGAAATGAGATTCTCGTGGACATTTTTGATTATATGATGTACAAATAATGATTTCAATATTCTAAGTCATTAATCTGTATCTTAAGTGTTAATCGATTTAATAACATTGGGAATAAGGAATAATTCGTTTCACACAACACGGATGGCGGTACGCGTTATTTCACTCTGATGTTGATTTATATAGATTTAGAATACAAACAAGATTTTAACATATTAGTTAAAAATTAAATAATGTTTAGCTAAAAATTACGAAACACTAAACACCAAGTATATATTATATCAGAGATTCTTTGATTATACACTACAAAGTTATCGACTGCATAAATGGTCATGTGCATTGTCGATAATATTTTGAAGATGTCACTCTTTAACATGTGCCAACCTAATAAAATTTCAGATGAAGTTGGTAATCCTTTCTGAATTACATATTTGAATACATACCTACGTATTTGTTATTATAGCA